CTCTTCCTTCAAATATTAAGAAGCCACTGGAGCTATACACTTTTAAATCTCGATTGAAAACAAACATTTTTAGAACTTATTCTAGATTTGAAGCTTTCGTGACTGCAAGGATTCATATTCTTAGGTTTTTTCGGTAAAGTCACGTAGGTAAAACATTAAGGTATATATACGGAGTGGTATCTCCTGTAATCTCTCATTTACTTGATACAGCTGTCGGGCTGTGACGGTTCCACCTGAAGACGGAAGCTTGTGTTGCTTCCGAAACGTCGTGGTTTTTATTGTATTTAACTTTTACTAATTTTAATGTTTTACCTACGTGACTTTACCGAAAAAACCTAAGAATATTTTTAGAACTGCTTTTTGTGTTTAGTTTGTTTTCCTTCCCCCGCACCTCCGCTTAGCACGGTTGGCTCAGTACGGTGCGAAATAAGTTCAACACACATACGTACATTGTTCCAGCGCAGGGCCGTGAGAGATCGCAAGGGCGTGGGTGGACGCCCTTCATCCCGCCGCGCGCGTGTGTGTGTGCGCGCGTTTGTGTGTGCGCACGTGTGTGTGTGCGCGTGTGTGTGTGCGCGTGTGTGTGTGCGCGCGTTTGTGTGTGCGCACGTGTGTGTGTGCGCGTGTGTGTGTGCGCGCGTTTGTGTGTGCGCACGTGTGTGTGCGTGCGGTAGTGTAGCGGTTAGCGTGCTGCACTACAAACTTGGCGACCCGGGTTCGATTCCCGCTCACGGCCAACACCAGTGACGATTATCTGAACCGGTCCTGGGCCTCCCCTAGGTTGACTCAACCTCAAATGAGTACCTGGTGCGGTGTATAAACATCGCCACTGAGGAGACAAAGGCGGCCGGGCGTGGTGTTGGCCACCCACCCCCTCGTGTGCCGTGCCGGCCTTCATAGGTGTTCGCTAACAGCACTTGCCCCGACAGTCTGTTTAGGTTATACGGGGGTCTTTGTTTTTGTGTGCATGGTTGCGCGTGTGTGTGTGTGCGCTGATGGATGCCCGGGTGCAGTCAAAGGATAGCTCCCTATTGGTCAACCACGTTATGTATGCCGATAATCTGGTAATTGCTGCTCACTCAGAGGAGGGAGTTTGATGCGCTGTTGCTGAACCTGGAGCTTGCCACTAAGTACCTGCCTGGGTATTTTGTACGATCGGACACTCCACCCCCACAACTCCCAATTGGTGATGGGGCAGTAGTGGAGAGAGTGGAGAGTTTCCCATACCTGAGCAGTGTGCTCATGACCGGCTCCGGTTTGACAGCAGAGGTCTCATTCCGAATCAGTTGAGCGGCATTATCTTTTCATCGGTTGCGTAATGCTGTGTGGAAGCTACCTGGTCTGTCGCTCCGCACGAAGCTTCAGGTCTTCTCAGCCACGGTCATTCCCTCCCTTTTCTACGCTTGTGAAACGTGGACCCCCCTAATGGAAAATCTTCGCCGGTTAGAAACATTTATTCTGGTATGCCTACGATCCATCCTGGTTTAACTTGCTGGCTGGATTGTGTGAAGAGCTCACAAATCCTTGAAAGATCTGGACAAAGTCCCATCGGTGAGCTCCTCCGGCAGGCAAGGCTGCGTTGGCTGGGTCATGTAGCCCGCATGCCCAGCCACCGCATTCCTAAACAGCTTTTGTTCGGCCGGATCGAGGGGGCTAAACGGGCGCGGCACGGGCTATAGAAGAGATGAAGCTGATGCGGTACGGGAGGATGTGGAACTGAGTGGACTTGCCGATGACTGGTACCAGCGGTGTCAAGATCGGCCTCTGTGGAGGAAGCTCGTGAAGGACGCTACTGGGCAGTTGTAGGCAGTCGCCCTCCAACAACAACGGGTGGCTAAAGCACAGCAAGTTGGCACAGTAGGGGGCACAGGTGGTGCATCAGCTAGTCATCTCAGTCAGTCGACCCGTGGCACCTGGGTCTGTCGCGTGAACTCCTGCCAGCGGGCGTTCGACACTTCACGTGGCCTCAACTTGCACATGGCCTGGCACAAGCGTCGTGGTGACGTCACCGCCACTTAGTGGCGAATGGCGGTTGTTGTTGTGAGGGTGCAGCCAAACGATCCTAATCAGTGAATCGGTTCATGCCTTGGGCAATATTCGATTTGGCCGATTTAAATGTATCGCCGAATATTGTTACGATAATTCATGCATATTGGACAGGAAGAACGTTTGAGATTAAGTTTGAAAGCAAAGCTTGCGCGTGAGTGCGGGGAGTACGGCGGTAGTCCAGCGGTTAGCGCGCCACAAACCTTACGAACCCGGTGACCAAAGTTCAACTCCCGGTCACGAACATCGCCAACACCGCTGACGGTAATCTGAACCTCCGTCCTGCGCCTTCCCCAAGGTCGACTGGGCCTCAGACGAGTACGCGGTGCGGGGCGTGTAAACGTCGCCACGAGGGCAAAACACGAGCGGCCCGGGTGGGTGTGCGCTGGCCCACCCACCCCCCTCGTGTGCAATGCCGGACTTCGTCAGTGCTGCTTGCGAACAGCACTCTCACCAACAGTCTGGCGAAGGCTATACAGGGGGGGGGCGGGGGGGAATCTTTGTTTCTTTGTAGGACGATCCATTGTCCCACGACCTCGTGCCAGCCACCGTTCAACACGTCACGTGACCTCGGCGAGCACGGAGCCTGGCGAATTCGCCGCTGCGCTTTTCCCCGGCGAATTTTTGTGCGCCTTTCGTCGCGTGCCCGCCGACGCCTGGGGGGGGGCGTCTCGATACCTCGCCACGTTTGCGTGCTGGGTGGGGGGGCCTCCTCCTCCGGATTGATTCGGCCTAAAATGGCAACGGTGGTGCGGTGCCGATTGCGAAAGCTGGGTTTCGGACGAAGAATTAGTGGCTGTGCGCTTGCCTTCGTTGCGAGCCACGATTGCGATTCACGAACTCGTGCGCTGCGCCAGGCGGAATAATAGGCGCTCGCAAACAGCGGTTGTTTCCATACTCGGTGAGTCAAACAGGATCTTTATCTTGTGTGTGTTGATGTGTTCGTTCGAGTGCACGTTGGAATGTCTGCGTGTGTACGCGTGCGCGTGGGGGGGATCTTTGTGTTGTGTGCACACCAGTAATATCTAACATCGGTGGTGAGTGATACCCGAAGCGGTTCCAGGGGACCACCCCTCTAGGTCAACTCAGCCCTAAATGAGCAACTGGGCGTGGTGCTGGGCCACCCCGTGCCCTGGCACTCGCCGTGCCCTGTCAGCCTGAATAGGCACTCGCTAACCGCCCTTGCCCCATAAGCCTGCGGAGGCTACACGGTGGGGGGTCTTTGTCTTTGTGTCCCTCGTGCGCGTGTGTCTGTGCTGCTTGTGGGGGAGCGGTGGTGCAGCGGTTAGCGCGCTGCTCTACGAACCCGGCGACCCGAGTTCGATTCCCCGCTCACGGCCAACGCCGGTGACGATTATTCTGAACCGGTCCTGGGCCTCCCCTAGGTCGACTCAGCCTCAAATGAGTACCTGGCGCGGCGTGTAAATGTCACCACTGGGGAGACAAAGGCGGCCGGGCGTGGTGCTGACTACCCACCCCTTCGTGTGCTACTCGCGAATAGCACTTGCCCCAGCTGTCTTTGCAGAGCCATACGGGGGGAGTGAGGTGGGGGGTGAAATATTTATATGTGTTAGCAGGCGTGTGTCCGTGTGTCTGTGTGTCCGTGTGTCCGTGTGTCTGTGTGTCCGTGTGTCTGTGTGTCTGTGTGTCCGTGTGTCCGTGTGTCTGTGTGTCCGTGTGTCCGTGTGTCCGTGCCACTCGTGCACCTCGTGGGCCTTAATAGGCGCTCGCTAACCGCACGTTAGCCCCCCCCTCCTCCTCCTCCTCCTGGGGGGTCTGCTGTAAAACTGCGCGACGACGGTGGCGATGTGGGAGAAGGAGGAGGGTGGGGGATCCGTGTCCTTGCGTCGAGTATCGTGTGCACACAAAGATAAAGATCCCCCGTATAGCCTGAGCAGACTGTTGGGGCAAGTGCTGTTAGCGAGCGCCTATGAAGGCCGGCACGGCACACGGAGGGGGCGGGTGAGCGGCCGCCTTTCTCTCCCCAGTGGCAATGTTTACACACCACGCCAGCTACTCATTTCAGGCTGAGCCGACCTAGGAGAGGCCCACGACCGATTCGGATACTCGCCAGCGGGGTTGGGAAGCGCAGCGCGCTAACCGCCACACTGCCGCTCCCACACGCACGAACGCGTGCACGCACGCACGCGTGCACACACGCACGCGTGCGCACACAATCTCGCGTTCCTGTTGTGCAACCGCGCCGTGCCCTCCTCGGCGGCGTGACCTTGAGATGCTGCTGCCCCCCCCCGCCCCCCTCGCCCCGCTCGCTCTCGCGCCCGTGCTCGCTCGCTCCCGCGGCCGCCCGTGCGAAAACCAGTTTTGTGAGCGCGGCTCCGAGAGCCGCTCCGGCACAACAGAGAGCCGCTTCCTGCACATGCCCGCACGCGGCAGATGTCATCGTCATCATCATCACCGTCGTAGTCGTTGTTGTCACAATTCTCATCGTCCTCACTATGATTGTCTTAACCTTCGCGCTTGTCACCATGGCTGATGCCACGCACAGCACCATCGCTGACTCGTGAATCCCTGCGTCGCATGAAGCATTGCTCACCCCCCCCGAGTGATATTGTGATCGTCAGCAATAGCAGCTGCAGCGGCGGCGGCGGCATCTTCGTCGCTTTCACTGTGATGAGGATGATAGTGGTGGTGATTGTGATGGTGTTGATTGTGATAATGGTTGTTCTTATGATGAGGATGATGATGGATAGTGGTGGTGATTGTAATGGTGTTGTTCATGATGATGGTGACGATGATGGTGTTATGATGATGATGGTGGTCATGATCATGATGGCTATCGTGATAATCTTTAACAATGCCTCACACCACACCCCAGTGCTTTGCAACGGGGGCGGCGGGGTGGGGTTGGTGATCCAACTTCTGTCACAAACTTCAAGCGTCGGCGTGAACCGTCGTCAACATCGTCACCCGTTCTCATTTTCCTCTCTCGACAGGAGCCAAAGCGAGTGACCCCAACCCACGGCCTCACCCCCCCCCCCCAGCTCCCGCCCCCCCACCACCGCCGCCCTGCCTTGCCCGGTCAACAAATCGGACGACCCAGCAGCAACAGCAGCGCGCGGCCCCGCCCCTAACGTTCCCAAGCCTGGACTCCCCTGCCCAACAGTGGGCCCATGCTGCGGGTCACTGACGTCACAGCTGCAAGTCAGCTGACGCTCGGCAGCCAATCACCGTCGGACGGTCACGAGGAGGCAGCGTCGACATCCAGTGAGGAGAGGCTTCAGGTGTGTGTGTGTGTGTGTGATGTGCACCTAGCCTGGCACGAGTGACGTGGGGTTACCGCTGTTGCCGTGCGTTTGCGCTTGTCCGTTGAGGCTATACGGGGGATCTTTGCCTTTGTTTGCGTCCGTGTTCGGTGCGCAAGTAAGTTTGTGTGCGCTTCAATGCGCATGCATATTGTGCGTGTGAGTGCGCGCATGCGCATGTGTGAACACGTACCTGACGTACATCTGTGTGTGCACGTATGTCCCAGCTTACACATCCACGCCTGTCCGCGTAGAAAACAAAGTACACACACACCTCTGTGTACACACACACCTAGCTTACACCTGTGTATACACACGAATTTGTGTACGTGTGTGTCTGCGCGCGTGTGCGCACATGTGTCTGCGTACATGTACCTAACGTACGCTCGTGGGTCTCTGTGCGAACACTTGTGTCTCTGTGTGTGCACGCGCGTGTCTCTGTGTGCGCATGCGTGTCTCGTGCGGGCGTGCGTGCGCACACGTGTGTGCGTATACACGTGTGTCTTGTGCGTGTGCGCACTGTGTGCACGTATACACGTGTGTGCGCATACAGGACGGATTCCTCCTGTCTCACAGCTGCCCCCTGTGCGAGGAAATCTGCGACTCGGCCCGTGACCTCACCTCTCACATCCGCCAAGTTAGCCCCACACGCAAACCCCCGATGCGGCAGACGGCTCACTCGCTCACTCGCTCGCTAACTCGCTCGCTCACTCACTCACTCACTCGCTCGCTAACTCGCTCGCTCGCTCGCTCGCTCACTCACTCACTCGCTCGCTAACTCGCTCGCTCACTAACTCGCTCACTCACTCGCTCACTCGGCCCTCACGGCTCTCTCAGGGAGAGTCCCGTCGCTCGCCTCTCTGCGCACCGCGCTACGAACCATCACTGCCCGAGTTCGACTCCCGGCCGTGATGCGCTCTTGGCCCGGGCCTTTTCATTGCCACTCGCAAAACTTTCGCCTGCCTCTTTTTTTGTTTTTGCGCTTTTGTCGCACAAGGCTGAAGAGGCCTGAGCGTGCGCGTGTGTGCGCGTGTGTCTTCGTATATATGTCTTTGTGTGTCCGTCTGTGTGCGTCTAAATCTTTTCGTGTGTATGGTTGGCGTCTCAATGTTACGTGTATATGGTTAGCGCACGCTGCGCCTTGGACGCGACCCCCACCGTGTAAAAATATTGCCACTGGGGAGACAAAGGCGGTCGGGCGTGGTGCCGGGCACCCACCCCCTGGTGTGCCGTGCCGGCCTTCATAGGTGCGCGCTAACAGCACTTGCCCCAACAGTCTGTTAAGGCTATATGGGGGATCTTTGTCTTTGTATGAGTCGGTATGGATCTTGCTCTGTCTGTGTGTGAGCAGCACACTGGCTGGGTGGCCACTCCCAGTGAGAATGCGTGTGTGTGTGCGCGTGTGTGTGTGTGCGTGTGTGTGTGCGCGTGTGATTACGCGACCAACACCATTGACGACTATTTAAACAGGTCCTGGGCTTCCCCTAGGTCGACTCAGCCTCAAATGAGTACCCGGTGCGGTGCGTAAAAATATCGCCACTGGGGAGACAAAGGCGGCCGGGCGCGGTTCTGGCCACCCACCCTCTCGTTTGGCGTTACGGCCCTCATAGTTGCTACTCGCAAACAGAACTTGCCCCAACAGTCCGTTAAGGCTATACCGGGGGGATCTTTGTCTTGATTGTGTATGTATCGCTATGTATCACTCTCTCTCTCCCCCCTCTGTCTGTGTGAGAGTAGCACAATGGCGGGGTGAGCACGCCCAGTGGGAACGCGTGCGGGATCTGCGGCAAGTTCCTGAGTTCCGCGAGCTCGCTCGATAGGCACATGCTCGTGCACTCCGGGGAGAGGCCACACCGCTGCCGCGTTTGCCAGCAGGCGTTCACCACCAGCGGAAACATGCAGAGGTGCGTGTGTGTGCGCGTGTGTGCTCACGCGCGTGTTACTGCGGGGAGAGCGATAGTGTGGCGGTTAGCGCGCTGCGCTATGAACCCAGCGACACGGGTTCGATTCCCGCTCACGGCCAACACCGGTGACGATTATCTGAACTGGTCCTGGGCCTCCCCTAGGTCGACTCAGCCTCAAATGAGTACCTGGTGCGGTGTGTAAACATCGCCACTAGGGACACAAAGGCGGTCGGGCGTGGTGCTGGCCATTCACCCCTCGTGTACCGTTCCGGCCTTCATAGGTGCTCGCTAACAGCACTTGCCCCTACAGTCTGTTAAGGCTATATGGGGGATCTTTGGATCTTTGTTACTGCGGGGAGCGGCGGTGTAGCGGTTTAGCGCGCTGTGCCACGAACCCGGCGTCCCGAGTTTCGATTCCCGCTCACGGCCAACACTGTACCGGCTCTGGGCCTCCCCTCGGTCGACTCAGCCTCAAATGAGTATCTGGTGCGGTGTGTAAACATCGCCACTGGGGAGACAAAGGGGGCAGGGCGTGGTGCTGGCCACCCACCCCCTCGTGTGCCGTGCCGGCCTTCATAGGTGCTACTCACGAACAGCACTTGCCCCAAAAAAATCTGTTAAGGCTATAAGGGGGATCTTTGTTTTTTTTGTGTAATAGGTGCTTTGCTCAAAGGACTTGCCCCGACAGACTCTTAAAGGCTATGCGGGTGGAGGGATCTTTGTGTGTGTGGCTGTGTGTGCGTGCGTTTTATTTACTGCGCATGGCTGGGTGTGCATGCGTGGATGGGCGAGTAGTTCGCTGCGTGTTTGTCTGCGCGTCATTGTGTGCGCGCTTGTGGCTGAGTTTGCTTGAGCGAATGCCGGATTAGGGGAGCGTGCTCATGGGCATGTGAGCCGAGCGATCTAGCAAGCGAGTGAAATGAGATGGTGAGTGAGAGAATGAAGAAGTGAGCGATTGAGTGAGAGTATACGAGTGAGAGATTCATCGTTCAAGCGAGTAGGTGAACAGTTGAGTTAGTGAGAGTGAATGAGTGAGGGAGCGAGAGTGGGTGTTTGAATGGTTGAGTGGGTGCTTTGGTGAGTGTGCGCAGGTGAATGACCGATTGAGCGAATGAATGAGCGATTGAGCAAATTAATGAATGAGCGATTGAATGATCGAGTGAGTTCACCCATGAGCGAGTGAACGATCGAGCAAGTAAGTGAGTAAATGGACGATCGAGCGAGCGAGTGAATGAACGAGCGAGTGAATGAACGAGCGAGTGAATGAACGAGCGAGTGAATGAACGAGCGAGCGAATGAACGAGCGAGCGAACGAACGAGCGAGCGAACGAACGAGCGAGCGAACGAGCGAGCGAACGAACGAGCGAACGAGCGAACGAACGAGCGAACGAGCGAGCGAACGAGCGAACGAGCGACGGGCGGGCGAGCGGGCGGGCGAGCGGGCGGGCGAGCGGGCGAGCGGGCGGGCGGGCGGGCGAGCGGGCGGGCGGGCGGGCGGGCGAGCGAGCGGGCGGGCGAGCGGGCGGGCGAGCGGGCGAGCGGGCGGGCGAGCGGGCGGGCGGGCGAGCGGGTGAATGAACGATCGATCGAGCGAGTGAATGATCGAGCGAGTGAGTGAGTGGGTGAATGATCGATCGAGCGAGTGAATGATCGAGCGAGTGAGCGAGTGGGTGAATGAACGATCGAGCGAGTGAATGATCGAGCGAGTGAGCGAGCGAGCGGGCGGGCGGGTGAATGAACGATCGATCGAGCGAGTGAATGATCGAGCGAGTGAGTGAGTGGGTGAATGATCGATCGAGCGAGTGAATGATCGAGCGAGTGAGTGAGTGGGTGAATGAACGATCGAGCGAGTGAATGATCGAGCGAGTCAGTGAGTGGGTGAATGATCGATCGAGCGAGTGAATGATCGAGCGAGTGAGCGAGCGAGCAAGTGAGTGAAGGGGACCACGTGACCGGAGTCGCTCACTCGGGCTGTGTGCACGCCCCCAGGCACCTGAAGATTCACGAGAAAGACCCAGGCCCCAGCCTGTCTCCGGCACGGGCGTCCATGGCAAACGCCAGCAGTGCTGCCGAGCCAAGCCCCGAGCAGCCGTCCTGCCAGAGTACTGAGGTGCCTGCACAAATAATGACGACAGTGAATTTTACTTTTTTAAATAATATATCCGTATAAGATGTGTATGTGGCAAGAAATCAAATGATCATGCATCGCAACGTGAACATAAACACATCAATCAGTATATAATGAGTCAAGGGACCATGCGGTGGTGGTGTTGAGAAAGCAATTGCATTATATACCACGCTCTGGATGTACGTAACGTCTAAAATGTGGCGTATTTATTTTGTTCAGCGAGCGAGGCAGGCAGAGGAGAAGGATTGAGCCGGGACTTGAACGGTGGATGGTGGGGGGGGGGGGGGGTGGCAGGGAGTCAACAGCCCTGACGGCTGGGGGAAGGGAGTGCCAGACAATGGGGGCAGAATATGAGAGTCGATGACCTCCCACCGAGCGACAGTTACGACCGTAGTGTTGGTGGTGATGGTGGTGTTGGTGGTGTTGGTGGTGTTGGTGGTGTTGGTGGTGTTGGTGGTGATGGGGGAGGCCATTCCGCCGATGTCACATTTGCTGATGTTGGTGATGACGTAACAGCGGTGGGTGGTGACGTCAGCGATTGCCAGGGACCATGGCGCGGCTACTCTGGACGTGGCGTAGATTGGCCGTTGCGACGGTGGGGTGCGGTTTGGCGGTCGTGATGGCATTGAAGGCGACGGTCGCGATGGCGTTGAAGGCGACGTTCCTTCACTCGACCGTTCATTCACTCAGATCGTTTCTTCACCCGACTGTTCATTCACCCGACCGTTCATTCACTCAGATCGTTCATTCACTTGCTCGATCAGTCATTCACTCTCACGCTATCACTCACCGCGAACCTCTGCAACAATCGACGATCGCCTGACCGCTGGGCCCGGGTCACCGCGATGCGGTAACGGTGTTGAGTTTCATCACGTCGTGATGTTGCTGATGTTGGTGATGCCGATGTATGCATGCATGTTGAATTTCTATCGCACCGTGCGTAGCCAGGCGTGCTAATCGAAGGTGCGGGGGAGGTGGTAATTAATCGGAGGTGCTTCCTGTTTCCTACGGCTGATGTAGTTGCAGAGCAACAACTACAATTTCACATTCACGTGGTCAGGCCAGATAACCGGAGCAGCAGCGGAGTGTAATCGCCGCGATGTCTCCTCCGTATCTGCGGATCTCGGGGCATTGTCGCCCCGTTACACGTCGCGCGGTCTGTTCTGGATGACCGCAGCCGCACCGCCGCTGCTGCCGGAGAGTTTTTAACTTTCCATTTGTGCGCCATCAGGAATCATCCGCGTCGACTGGCCATTGGTTTGTGCGGTGGGTGCGGTTCGAGGGTGGACCGCGCTAAGCGGAGGGCCGATTGACCCGCGGGTGATAATCGGAGGCGATGCCCTGCTGCTGCCCCAGGTGTGCGTGCCCCTGGACGCCGGCTCCTCCGCGGACCCCGTGGGGGATGCGAACCGGAAGGACGTCCCCGTGAGGCCGAGGCCTCGCCGCCCGTCGGCACGGAAGAGGGCGAGCGCCGACATCGTGGAGGCCGGAGCTCCGCTGCTCCTGAAGAAGCCCCGGCACAAAGTGAGTCGTCGGTCGTTCGTCGTCGTCGTCAGCAGCGCACCATCGTAAACATCAGCAGCGGGTATTGTTGTGGTCATCATTGTCAACATCACCATCGTCGGCAAAATCAGCATCGTCGGCAAAATCAGCATCGTCGTCAATATCAGCAGCAGCAAGCATCGTTATCGGCATTGCCATCATCAGCATCATCATCATCATGATGGTCATCGTCAACGGCATTATTATCGACGTCAGCAACAATGTCGTTGCCATCATCTTTAGCGTTACCATCATCGGCATCATCAGCAGCAGCAGCATCGTCGTCAACATCAACGTCCGCAAAAGCATCGTCGCCATCGTCATCAGCAGCATCAACATCAGCATCATCATAACCGTCAGCAAGAGTATTGTTGCGATCATGAGCATCATTCACCCACTCACTCGCTCGATCGTTCATTCACTCATGAGTGAACTCACTCGATCATAATGCTCATCATCAGCAGCAGTAACAGTATCATCGCCATCATCGTCAGCATTACCATCACCGGCAGCATTAACCTGGTTATCAGCAGCGTCGTTACCATTGATATCATCATTGTCGTCACTACATCATCGTCATTATATCCATCATGATCCTCATCTGGGCTTCTTACGTTGTACGAGACACAAGCTGCTGTCTAGGATGGTGACACGAAGTCCGGGGTTTGTTGGCAGCCCTCTCTCTCCCTCTCACTCGCTCGCTCGGAGAGTCTGCCCCGACTCTCGACGGGTGATCGTTGCCTTCTGCCCTTTGCCGTGTTGATGGCCGTGTAACGATGACTGCCTCATCAGCTTGGCGTGCGTGCTGCTTTGTTGTGCTGGAGGGGGAAGCTCCGTTGCAAATAACCTTTGGACGGTTTTTTTTTAACATCTGTGAGCCATCGCTCTTCATCGGTTCGACAAACAACGCCCACCTCCACTCCCTTCTCGCTCGCTCGCTCGCATCTCCCGATCGCTCGCTCCTAAAAATAAAATAGCTTTCTCTCACCCGCTCGTTCAGACTCACTCGCAGACTCGCTCACGTGCAGACACGCTCGCCCGCTCGCACAATCGCTCGCTCGTTCACGCGCTCACCAGCGCTCACTCACTAATGCTCGCTCAGTTGCTCACTCGCTCATTCAGTTCCTCACTCGGTCAATTTCTCGCTCACTAATTAGTATACTTGCTAAGTCGCTCACCGCCTTGCACACTCTCTTGCCAACCACCCCACTACGCACGCCGCCCCCCCCCCCCCCCAGGCGCCCCCCCTGCACACCATTGCCTTTCCCGTGAGTTATCGTGCATCACCTACTCTGAGTGTCACGCCGACTGCTTGATTTACATTCTTATTGACTCACAAAATCACACTCGGTCCCATGATTCACTCATTCATTCACCCGCTCGCTCGCTCACTCACTCGTGCACTTACCAAACCATTATCTCACTCATTCATTCGCCCGCTTACTCATGATCTCGCTCGCACATCCACTCATTCACTCACCCGCCCAACTGAGCTCACAAAATCACACCTAACTCGCAAATCACTCGCGCGCCCTCGCTCCCTCTCACACCGACTCGCCCAAACTCACTTATTGCATTCTCTCTCCAACTCCACACGGTGACGACATCACAATCTCTCATGCTCTGCTCACAAGCTCATTCGCCCTGCGCGCACATCCCCCCCCAAACTCACTCATCCCCCCCCCCCAAACTCACTCATCTCCCCCCCCCCAAACTCACTCATCCCCCCCCCCCAAACTCACTCATCTCCCCCCCCCCAAACTCACTCATCCCCCCCCCCAAACTCACTCATCCCCCCCCAAACTCACTCACCCCCCCCCCAAACTCACTCATCCCCCCCCCCAAAACTCACTCATCCCCCCCCCCCAAACTCACTCATCCCCCCCCCCAAACTCACTCATCCCCCCCCCCAAACTCACTCATCCCCCCCCCCCAAACTCACTCATCCCCCCCCCCCCCAAACTCACTCATCCTCTCACTCATCCTCTCACTCATCTTCTCACTCATCCTCTCACTCATCCGCCAACTCAACACACGCTGCGCTCTTCCCTCCCCCACCCACCCAAGCCGCCACCGCCGCCGCCCCCACGCACATCATCCCACCCTCCCCCTCCCCTCTCTCTCTTCTCTCGCGTCTCGCGTCGACTGCATCAGCGGCCCGACCGGTTCGGCCTGTCGTGCCGCTCGCTCCGTCCCCGTGCCTGCGCCGCCAGCGCTACCAGCGCACACCGCAGGCGACCTGCCGCGTGGAATTCTCCCGTTCGCGGCGGAGGCGGCGTCGGCGCTTATCTGAGCGCTCGTTTCAGCTGCCGCGCTACGGGAGGCCACCCCAACTACATCAAGCATCCCACCAAGAATCCCACCAACCACCCCAACAACCACCCCAACAACCACCCCACCAACCACCCCTCTTCCTCAACCACACCAAGAATCCCACAAACCACCCCACCAACCATCCCCCAACAGGGGTCGGATGTCACGGGGCACTGCGCTTTGCTTGACCGGGACTTGAACCCCGGGGGGGGGTCTCTGCTCCCCGCCGCCCCCCCCCTGCCCCCCCCTGCCCCTGCTCCCCCCTGCCCCTGCTCCCCCCCCGCGTGTTCTCACTCGTGGCTCGGCCCAGACTCTTCGAAGGCGAGGCTGCGGCTCGAGCAGCGAGCCGGCGCCACGCCCGGCTTCACTTGAGCTGGCTCAGAGCCCCATGCTGTCCCCCCTCCCCCCCGGCCCGCCCCAGGAGCTCCACGAGCCACAGTCCGAGCCGCGACTCGGACTGTGGCTCTCGCCGCCGCGCGTGAGGATTTGCAGTGCCCACTGTCGTCAGCTGCCGTCAATCCAGCAGTGGAGTGGATTGGTCTTAGAGATGACGACGACGATGTTATTATCAGCTGCGGTTAATCCATCAGTGTTGACCTTAGCGATGATGATGATGATGATGTTGTCGTCGTCGTCATCATCATCGAAGGCCCCTCCAAGCCGTCACCATCTCTCGACCGTCCCGAGATGCAACGAGGCCCCCCCCCCTCCCCCCGCGCACACGCGAGCTGAATCCGTCACTCCATCTCCCTAGCGGACGTGGAACCTTTGGCATGTCCGAAGGAGGAAATGCGCTCGAAAGAGCAATCCTCTCCCCCCGCCCTCCCGCTTTGACCGTCAAAGGCTATAGGATCCATAATAGAGGTTTTTTTTTGGATGAGATCGTGTGAATATAAATGTGTCGTTAAACCCGTCACCACCCGACACAGCCAATTAGTGAGGTTTTCATCACGTGAACAGAACGTGCCGATCCGTTACTAGGACTGCACACCGATGCGTTGGAGAGTAAATCCACAACATTTACAAGTAAGTGGTATTCGCGAGCGCCTCTGATGGCCGGGGATTGATTCCCAACCACACAGAACGTCGAGTGCTGGAGCTCCCCTAGATCGGCTCGGCCTGAAATGTTCCCCTCTCGCGGTGTGCAAACACCTTGATTCGGAAACGCAAAGGCAGCCAGCCGGGGTGCGGTTCTGCGTCGGCCCTAATTTGGTGCTCGCTCACAGCTTGTTAGAGGCCACAGGGTGGGAGAGGGCGGGGGGGGGGGGGTTTACCTGTATCGTGCATACGGATGCACATGCATTTGAATGGTGCTGACGACACACCACCCCTATTTTATGTAGCCTCTCAGACCTCCATAGGTACGGGGAAAGGGGTCTTTGTCTTTGTGCGCATGTGTAACGCTGCGGTCCCCGATTCCCGGCCACGGGTGACGGTTGCTGGGCAGCGATCTCCGAACCGGTTCTGGGATTTCTATAGGTCGGCTTAGCCTGAAATGGGCAGCTGGTGTTTGTGTGTAAACATCGATCGGTGCTTGTTAACAGCACTGTGTCCCCAACCGCTTGTGTAGACTCCTGCACGGGGGGGCAAATCTTTGTCCCTTTGATTGGTGCTCCTGATTTGAAGCGCTTTTAAGGAGGTCCCAAGTAAGGGTGGGTGAGAAGGGAGGGTAGTACAGCAAGCGGGTAGCGAGTGTACGATATGCAGATTGTTTTTGCAATGTTGCCAGCGCGCGCGCGTGCGTGTGTGTGTGTGGATCGTCTCTGGGTACTCCGGTTTCACGTACACAAAGACAAGGATACCCATATAGCCTTTACCAGACTGTTGGGGCAAGTGCTGTTAGCGAGCACCGATGAAGGATGGAACTGCACACGAGGGGGTGGGTGGTCAGCACCACGCCCGGCCGCCTTTGTCACCCCAATTGCAATTTACGACACACCGCACCAGGTACTCATTTGAGTCTGAGTCGACCTAGGGGAGGCCCAGCACCGGTGCAGATAATCGTCACCGGTGTTGGCGGTGAGCGGGAATCGAACTCGGGTCGCCGGGTTCGGAGCGCAGCGTAGCGCTAACTGCTCCACCACCGCTCCACCACCGCTCCACCACCGCTCCACCACCGCTCCACCACCGCTCCACCAATGCTCCACCAATGCTCCACGTACAAAGACAGTCGCACGCGCGTGCACACCGATGTGTGCGTGTCGTGGGGGGGGTGATGTTTGTCTCATTGTGTCTTGAGGGCACACGTGTATGTATGCGCGCCGTTTGACTGTGTGCATTGGGAGCGGTGGCATAGTGGTTAGCACACTGCCTGCTGCACCACTCAGGCGAGCACGAGTTCCATTCCCGAATCGAGATGTTCAGGGTGATCACGATTTCTTTCTTAATATGCCCTGTGTCTGGAGTAATGGGATGGCACGTGTGCGTGTGTCGGTGTGTGGGGGGAGGGAGCGTAGTGGTCAGCGCGCCGCACTACGAATCCGGCAACCTGACTATCGACTCCTGCCCACGGCTGACATCGGTGGGGAACGATGTCAGAACCGGTCTGGGCCTGCCCCTAGGTCAACTCAGCCTTAAATTAGTACCTGGGGAGACAAAGGCGGGCGGGCGCCGGTCCGGAAGTGGCCACCCCCACCCCCTCGCGTGCCACCGTGTTGCTACTTGCTAACGGGCACTTGCCCCAACAGTCGGTTAAGGCTACACTGGTGGTGGTGGGGGGTATCTTTGCCTTTGTTTTGGTGTTGCTGCTTGCCCACCAGGTGTATGTGGCTGTGTGCATTATTGATCGGCAGAGGAGGAGGAGGAGGGGGGGGGCAGTGTTTGGTCTCCCCCTTTACTCCTCCTCCCAACTCCCACAACCCCCCACGCCCTAACCCAACCCTCGCCCCGGCTCCTTTCAGGTGCCATTCATTATTTACGGAACCCCACCAACCACCTCTCACCTGCTTATGATATTGAGCTGCATTGTTATGCGGCCGACGGCCTGCCTGCGCACGCCTTTGTTTGGCCGGGTGACGTCGACGTGGCGTTGGTGGATCGCGCAAGGATGGGATGTTTTGATTCGATCGGATTGTGGTGGTGGCGGTGGAGGTGATGAGGATTAAGGCTGTGGTGATGCGACTGTTGCTGCTGCTGCTGGTTATGAAACTGGCTTATGATGTAGGTAAAAAATGAAATTAAAATTAATCAAAATAAAACAATATTATTAATTTTCATTTCATTTTTTACCTACGTGACTTTACCGAAAGAACTAAGAGTATGAATCCTTGCAGTCACGAAAGCTTCAAATCTAGAATGGCTCATGATGATTTTGATGCTAAAACTACTGATGATGATTATGATGAAGATGCTGATGGCGAAAATCAGCGTGTAGCTTTTGGTGTGACGATGGCTGACGCAGCTGGTTGTTGCTGATGATCATTTTGAGGATGAAACTGCTGTCATTGCTGCTGCTGCTGATGATGAGGATATTGCCGTGGTTGGCGATCGTGACGGTGACGATGATGCAGCTTTCTGCCGGTGACGCCGCCGGGGCTGATAACGTTGGATCATGAAGATGTTGCAGCTGGCGATAATGACGATGAGGCTGACGACAATGATAACGATGCGTGATTTATTCACCTCTTTCGAGATTTGAACTCGGCGTCCCCTGCCCCTTAGTTATTCGGAGCCCTGCTTGTTGCACCAACCCACCGGGCGACTACACCCCTGACCTTACAGGTCGTGGTCGACAACGCGTGCTCTTCGTTCACGTGGAAAAAGCCTCGCCGAGTCTCCGAGGCTTACTTTTCCAGGAGGGGGTGGGGGAAGTGGGGGGGGGGCCTGCTTTCAAAACTTTGGGCAATTCCTTGCTGTTGAGTGAGTTTTTTAGATTTCCCAACTCCAACCACCCCACCCCCGCCCCCCCCCCCCCCCCGTGTTGTTAAAGCAAAACCGGAGCGATTGAACAAAAGGGAAGATGACGCTTTTAAATAAAATCCATATGAATAGGTCAGTAACCTGCCTCATTCACCACCTGCTAGTCTTGCGGGAGGGGTGGGAGGGTCTACTCTAGTACACGGACACCCACGTGCTTCGATGATTTGAGTTGATTCCCTTATTCATTGGGTAACGGCTGTGTCTTTCCCCACCCCCCCCCCCCCCTCATTGAGCAGTAAATGATCAATTCTCACCAGTATAGCCTTCAACAGACTGTCGGGGCAAGTGCTGTTAGTGAGTAGCACCTATGAAGGCCGGCACGGCACAAGAAGGGGGTGGGTGGCCAGCACCACGCCCGACCGCCTTTGTCTCCCCAGTGGCGATGTTTACGACACACCGCAATCAGGTACTCATTTGAGGCTGAGTTGACCTAGAGGAGGCCCAGGACCGGTTCAGATTCACTGGTGTTGGCCGTGAGCGGGAATCGAACTCGGCTCTCCGGGTTCGTGGCGCGGCGCGCTAACCGCTCCACTGGACGCTCCGCACGCGCGCGCAATCCTGGGCGTGCATCGCGGCCTGAATAATCAGTTGCGACGAATGGGACTGCTTGTTCTTCCACGTGGGGATCGCCAGGGCGAAAGTCTTTTTTTTTCCCCTCTTCCTTTAGACAAAGGGAGGCGGAGGTGGGCGGTGGGGCGGGGAAGCTCACGTGAGACGATGGCTCTGCGCGCGTGTGTCTGTGTGCGGTGCGTGAGTGCAGATGAGCCTAGAAGTGGGCGAAGATTCCAGACACTGTCCCGTCTGCCTCAAGCCGTTCGTCTGTGAGCTCGGAGTGGATTTGCACCTTGCCTCGCACTCCCCACCCGCACAGCTCAGGTGCTGTGCGTTCACGTGGCCGTGTGTTTGTTTGTCCGTCCGTCCAGTCCGTGCATGTGTTTGGCTGTCTCATTTGTCCATTGTGTCCGTCTGTCCATCCGTCGGTTTGTCCGTCTTGCCATGCGTTCGTCTGTCCATGTTACCGTGCGTTGGGCTGTTTGTCTGACCGGGCGTCAATGTGTGTACGTTGAACTCACTGTCGCACCGTACGTAGCTAACAGTGCTAATCAGAGATGCGGGTGAAGGACGACAAACTAAGGACAACAAGCAGTTCTTAATAAATTAATTTTCAATCGAGATTATTTAAAAGTGCATAGCTCCATTGGCTTCGTGATATCGGAAGGGAGAGCGTTCCAGACGGCTGCAGAAGCACATCTGTTCATCGGAGGCACGGGAAATGTTTCATTCTGTCTGCGTGTCTAAAATGCATGTTCCTTGCGTGTGCGTGTATTTATTGGTATCTGCGTATCTCAAGCCGATATAACCTCGCTCAATTCAAGAAACGCGTTACTCTCTTTCTCTCTTGTAACTTTGAGAGTGCTGTTTGTCGCTGGCCCCTTAGCATTATGGGCCTGTGCTCCACAACAATCAGATTTTTTTAAAGTATATATTTTTTTTACGTATCTGTGCATTTGTGTGTTTGTTCGTATCGTCCCTGTTCATTTATCTGCCAATATGTATCAATGTGATAATACTACATGCGCCATCTATATCTAGTGCTTTTGTTTATTTAATTTTAGCACGATTTATGAGCACAGCCCCAAAGGGCCAAAGCATAACACGGACAGCAACAAACAGCACTCTCCGATGATGCTGGATGTAATTACCAGCGAAATGTCGTACTCAAAAATTGTAAATGTTGTGGTTTCACTCTTCAACACACCGGTAGGCTAAAGTAGTGAACTATTTGTCTTTTTATCTTCTTGGTTCTTTCGGGAAAGTCACGTAGAAGGGAAGTAATAAAATAATAAAAATAAAACATAATAAAATAATTCTCACGACGTTTCGGCCACAACGCAAGCAGCCGTCCTCAGGTGAAGACCAGGTCTGTTGGGGAGATAGCGTCTGAATGAAACACCACCACGCTTGGAGCGTATATTTACGCTGGGTTGGAATTTGCATATCAAGAGGAATTTAGCATATTTATGGAAAATGCAGGTATGCAGTCACGAAAGCTTTAAATCGATATTTGTCTTTTGTCAACGTGACACTTTTTTTTACTGATTGGCCATGTCGGGTGGTGGAGGGTTACGACACATTCATAAATAACGTGATCTAACCTCCAAAAACGTTTATTATTAATAATATTGGTCGTGAAAGCCTACGTGTTGGCACTGTCAGAATTGTAAAAGATTAGAGATTAAATCGTAAATTTGAGCAATGTTATCGGAGCTTGGGAACATATACAATGGGAGGGAATTCCAAGTTAGATCAGCACTGTTGTGACCTGCAGCGTGATGAGTGGGTGGGTGAGCGAGTAAATCGGTGGGTCTTGTGGGTACTACAGTGGGGTGCTTGAAAACACAGCACTGATGAAACGAAACGGTCTCAGTCTGGTGGATGGCATCGATGGAGGAATCGATTAACCTTTTTAAGTGCGCGTGTCCGCACGCGCCGTGCGTGTCACGTACACATCCACTGCCCATCTGCGTACGGGGAGCGGTGGCGCGCTTGATCGGCGCACTGCGCTACGAACCCGCCGACCCGTGTTCGATTCGCGCTCACGGCCAACACCGCTGACGAAAATCCCAACCGGTCCTGGACCTCCCCTAGGTCGACTCAGCCTAATACGAGTACCTAGTACGGTGTGCAAACATCAGTACTGGGGAGACAAAGGCAGCCGTGCGTAGGGCTGGCCACCCGCCCCCCCCTTGTGCCTTTCCGGCCTTACGAGGCGTAACTCGCTAATAGCACTTGTCCCAACAGCTTGCTGAAGGCTACACGGGGGATCTTTGTCTCATCCGCAGGTGCCACCACTGCAACGCGCCGTCGGTCCGCACGCCGCGCAGCTTCCTGCGCCACGACTCGGGCGCCCGCCGGCAGCACGAGAACGGCACGGCCAACGGCGTCGACTCATCCTCCTCGTCCTCCTCCTGCACGGCCAACCTCGTTCAGTTCTCGGTCGGGGTGGAGGGAGCGGAGGGGATCCACGCGACGGTCGGACACGGGCAGGCGGGCGCAAACTCCGTGCCCGTTGGCTTCCGCGACCTCAGCTTCATCGACTTCAGCTGCGACAAGTTCCCCAAGATCGCACAGGTATGGGAACCCCCGCGCTCGCTCGCTGGCTAACTCGCTTGCTTTGTCGCTCACTCGCTCGCTCGCTCTGTAGCTCACTCGCTCGTTCACGCACTCGCTCGTTCACTCACTCGCTCACTCACTCGCTCGTTCACGCGCTCGCCCTGTCGCTCGCTCGCTCATTCACGCACTCGCTCTGTCGCTCGCTCGCTCATTCACGCGCTCGCTATGTTGGGTCATATTATTATTTGTGTCTGCATTGGTACATGTAGCTGTCCCACGTCTGTGCGTATTTGTCTATATCTGCGTGTCCCAAGCTCTTCCAACCTTGACGCAGTTCTGGAAATACGTGAACTGTTCTCTATTTCTAACCTTAAACGTGCGGTCGTGGCAGTTGATAACAACGGCGGAAGTGTTTTAGTAAATCCCCCTCCACCTGCAGCAGCGTCAGTGGGTTCACCACAGTCAGTCAATGGGCAGGTCGCGTCTGATGGGCTGGGTGGGGGTTAAAGTGCGGCCGCCGTGGAGGAGTCGACCAAAGGACCCCCCAGGGCGAAAGCGAGGCCCGTCACGGGGGGCCCACGCCCGCCGCTCCGTGGGGGGCACAGTGGCTCAGTGCTCGAGCGAAGGCAACCACTCGTCGGCGAGCAATCCGGGGGTGTACTCGGACACACAGATCAGACAAAGACCCCCCCCCCCCCCCCGTGGTTGCGTTTATGGAGTTTTCACGTGTCTCTCTCCCCCCTTGGTCGCATGGATTTTTCTCCGGGTCCTCGGGTTTTTCCCTCCACATCGCGAACGAATGTCGCGCGTCTAGAAAACTCGTCCGCTGTGAATTTCCCCGCGATGACGAGCCGCTTACGTTGAGCTCTCACTTGTGACGGTCAGGTCGCTTCTGACAACAGGGCCGCATAGCTCAGGGGGACCTTACCTGGTGATAAAAATAATAACAGTCTTGTAGTTTTATTTACGGATTTGTTGGGACGACTTACAGGTACTCGTAGAAGGCTGAGTCGACCTAGGTGAGGTCCAGGAGCGGGTTCAGATGTTCGTCGCCGGGTTTATTTTGCGCGTTTAGCTCCCCCAACCCACCCCGCCCACCCCACCCACCCCGCCGCACCTCCGCTTAGCACGGTTGTCTACGTACAGCGCGAAAGAAGTTCAACGCACCGTGGCGTAGGCGTGCCGATCGCTACGCCAATCGCCGCGCCAATCGCTGCGCCACCGCTCCGGCGAGCGACGTACAACATCTTGACGCCCGTCCCCATTCTCCGTAACGCGGATTAACAAACAAGCGACACTTTGTAAATCCTAATTTACATGCACTTTGCATTGACCCTGCTTTAGTTGTTTTTATCCGACCCCCCCCCTTCCTCCAGATTTGTTCCTGGGAAAAAAATGGAGCATTAACTGTGTGTATGTAGTGTGTGTATGTAGTGTGTGTGTGTGTGGGGTGTGTGTGGCGTGTGTGAAGTGTGGTGTGTGTGCATATGTAGTGTGTGTAGTGCGTATAGTGTGTGTGTGTGCAGTATGTGTGGTGTGAGTGTGTGCTTGTAGGATGTGGAGTGGCGTGTGTTGTATGTGTAGTGTGCGTGTTGTGTGTGCGAGTGTGTGTAGTGTGTGTGTGTGCAGTGTGTGTGGTGTGGTGTGTGTAGTATGTGTAGTGTGTGTGTGTGCAGTATGGGTATAGTTGTGTGTACTGTGTGTCGAGTGTGTGTGTGTAGTATGCGTGTTGTGTGTGTGAGTGTGTGTAGTGTGTGCAGTATGGGAGCAGTGCGTGTAGTGTGCGTGTAGTGTGTGTTGTGTGCGTGTAGTGTGCGTGTTGTGTGTGTGTAGTGTGTGTGTAGTGTGTGTGTGAGTGTGTGTAGTGTGTGTGTGTGCAGTATGGGAGCAGTGCGTGTAGTGAGTGTGTGTTGTGTGCGTGTAGTGTGTGTGTAGTGTGTGTGTAGTGTGTGTGTGTAGGGAGTGCGTGTTGTGTGTGTGTGTGAGGGATGTGGGGAGCGTAGACACGTGGGAGCTTAGAGGGATACCAGAACGCTTTTGGATTTGGCTGCACTGCCCTCTGCTGCCCACCACAACCCTCTCTCCTTTAGGGACGATGCTTCGGTTGGCGTTGTGTGTATTGATGTCGTTTTTGCGTCGAACGAGAAGCCGTGTCTTCTAACAAGGGGGGTGGTGGGGGGGTGATCTTTGCCTAGAAACATCTGGCGGTCCGCCAGCGTTGGATCAAGTGAGCCCGATTCTGCTGATGAGACGCTGAATGTCGTAACGGTTCCAGAGTTTGCTCCGTCATTTCAACCGCTGCGTCCAGGATAATCGAACGGATCGGTGAACCTTCAAGATTGCACGTCAAACGTGCTTGCCATCGCACCGCGGAAGGCACCCTACCCCCTCCCCACACACGAGTCTCACGCTGTGCCCACTCCATCTCCCGCCTCCTCCTCCTCCTCCCCGCGGTGCAGGTGTGGTGCGAGCGGAACGTGCGACGCTGCATCAGCCGCTACCACCGCTTCGTGTGCGACGACTGCGGCAAGGCCTTCCCGGTCATGGCGGCGCTCTCCCTCCACCGTGACATCCGCCACCCGGCGTCGGCACGCGCGCCCGGCAAGCGCTCGGCAAGGCGGCTCCCCCCCGCCCCAGCGCCTGCGGCCCCTCCCACGGTCGCCGCGGACGTCGACGACGGCCCCGACGGCGCCGTCCCCGCCGAGCAGCTCTCGTTCCTGGCGTCGCTGAACCTGCGGCCTTCCCCGGCGAACGACGGTGCGGCGGCACCGGCGAAGCCCGAGAAGCCGTTGGCTCGCCTCTCCCCTCCGCCGGCGCCGGCGCGGTCGCAGTCCCCGTCGGCCAGCGAGGCCCCGTCGGGCGCCGCCGTCTTCCTGGGCCTCCTGTCGTTGTGCCCTGTCGCGTCGCCCGAGCAGAGGCCCAAGCGGCCCAACCCTGGCCGCTCGCGCCAGGGCACGGTGATGCAACAGCTGCAGCTGGTGCAACAGCATCAGCAGCAGCAGCAGGCGGCGGCGGTGCGGCACGCGCAAGTGGAGGGGGACGGCGCCGTCTCGCTGGTGCGGGGCGGCGTCGTGCTGCGCGGCGCCGAGTTCACCGTCCGCGCCGCCGCCGCCCGGCGCCCGAGGCCGGGGCAGCCGTCGGGGAACTCCGACGACGGCGACCCTTCCCCGCAGAAGGGCTTCATCATCCGCCCTGACAGCAGCATGGTGGTGGTGCCCATCGTGTGCGAGTCGGCCTCCGAGCTGGGCTGCGCCGGCGGGCGGCAGCAGCAGCAGCAGCAGCAGCGCCAGCAGCAGCAACAGCAACATGGGCGCGACGGTGGCGGCGACGGAAGCGGCGAAACCAACCCCGTGTCCAGGCTGACGGAGATGTGCGACCGCGCCCTGGTGGACGTGGGGACGGCCGAGCCGTCGCCGTCAGGGACCGTCCCGTTTCTGACGCCGCCTCCGCCGCCGCTCTCCAAGGTCGCCCCCCCGCCGAGGGGCGAGGAGGGCGAGCTCCCGCCGTCGCTGGCGCCGCGCCAGGCGGCCCGCCTGCGCCCGATGCCGCAGCTGAAGCCAAAGCCGCCCCCTCCGCCCCCGCCGCCGCTGGCCGCTCGCTGCACCTCCCCGACGGACGCGTCAACCGACGCGTCGTCGGCGGCGCAGCGGCGGCGGCAGTACGCGGTGGCGGCGCCGCCTCCGCCGCCCCTGCGGCTCATCCGGCCCGTGGCCGCGGCCATGACGGGTGCCGGCGAGCCGGTCGTGCTGCCGCCGCTGCCGCCTCTTCCGTCGTCGGGTGGCCTGCTGCTGCACGGGGAGGACGCGCGCTCGCCCTGCAGGGCGGACGGCCGCCGGGCGCAGGAGATACTGCGCAGGGTGCTGGAGCAGGGCGTCGCGGCGGCGTTGGACGGCGGCGGCGGCGGCGGCGCCGGCGCCGAACCGTCGGAGCCCTCCGCCCGCTCGTTCCGCCCGACGGAGCGCAAGCCGTCGCCGAACCTGCGGCGCGTGCTCGAGGCGACCGACTCGTTCTGCTGGGCCGAGAACGCCGAACGCTTCCTGGGGCGCGAGGTGAAGCAGGAGGAGAGAGGCGGTAACGGCGGTGGCGGCGCCGACGCCGGTGCCGGGGAGGCCCAGCAGTCGCCGCTGCTACGGCGGCGCCGGGAGGACGAGGAGGAGGCGGTGGCGGCGATGATGGCGATGACGGGGCAGCGCGTGGAGACGGCGGCGCCGTCCTCCGGCATCGTCGGCGTCGGGTCGCAGTGCGCCGTGTGCCGGCACGCGGCTCCAGACCGCGCGGCGCTGCTGCGCCACCTGCGCGACCGCCACGGGCGCGAGCGGCCCTTCGCTTGCCGCGTCTGCCTCTACCCGTTCACGCTCAAGGCCAACTGCGAGCGCCACCTCAAGCGCCGGCACGGCCTCACGGCGCGGCCCGACATCGACGTCCGGATCGAGCTGCTGGCCTCACCAGGCATCGTCGGGGCGGCCGTGGCCAGGGCTCACGCGGTGAAACGCGAGCGGCCCGCCGTGTCGCGCGGCGGCGGCGGCGACGACGACGAGGACGACGCGCCCCCGCTGTCTCTCGTCGCCGGTGCTCTGCCCAACGGCTTCTTGAGCGCCGGCGTTTACCGCCGAGTCGGCGGCGGCTCAAAGATTGCCGTCGAGCCGGACCCGCGAATCCTGCCGGCGAACGGGCGGCCGCCGGAATCCGGCCGGCCGACGGAGAACGGCACGGTCGGCGTCGGCGCCACCGGCAGGTCGCCGGCCGACGACTTTGGGGAGCTCGCCGTGGCGGTGGCGAAGGTGCGAGGGAGACGGCCTCGGGGCGCCGGGCTCGGGGGGCGGCACAAGCCGTACCGGTGCCGGCAGTGCCGCAACATCTTCTCGACGCGCAGCAACGTGTACCGGCACGTGCAGAGCCATCACGCCGAGGCCGTGGCGGCGTCCGGGGGGGACGCGTCGCACTGGGTCACCTACGTCGACCCGCCGCTGCCGCCGGCACCGCCGGCTCCTGCCGACTCCACGGGTAAAACTGCGGCACCGGTGGTTATGCCAAAGATGGAACGCGTGCACGTCAACGGAACCAGGGGAGGAGGAGAAGAAGAGGGGGAGGTGGCAGACGGTCGCGGCGGTGGCGGCGGCGGTTACGTCGTGGAGAACGGGGGGTGTCGATTCGTGGACGGCGCCAAGCCCAGCGCGGCCACCATCTCCGCCGCCCAGCGCTCGCTCAAGAACGGGCTGCTGTTACCGGCCGGCTACTCCCGGCTGTCGATGTTCTCCGCGGGTTCGGCGTTCCGGCCCGCGCGCTCCTCCGGCATCCCCGCCGTGACGGTGAAGACGGAGTACTGCCCGCCGTGGGAAGGCTGGCGGCGGCGGCGTCTGCACCAAAGTCGATCGCGACGACGACGACGACGACAACATGGAGCCCATCGACCTGTCGCTGCCGAAGCGGCGGGACTGCTCCACGACGACCGGAGCGAACGGAACGACGACCGGATCGGCCGTGGCGACGGCGGGCAAGGAGGAGCTGGCGCGGAAGAACGCCTCGCACTGCCTCGCCCAGCTGGCCACCAAGCACAGCCTCATGGCTGCGCCGGAGCGGCCGGGCCCCGGGGAGGCGTTTGCCGCCGGCTCGCGCTGCGCTTGGGCGGCGGCGGCGGCCGAGGGAGGCCTGGGCAACGCCGCGTGCCACCCGCTGATGCAGCTGGCGTCGCTTGCCGCCGGCTCGCTGGGCTACGGCGGCGATTGCGGCGGCGTCGGCGTCGTCGGCGGCGGCGAGGAATCCGGAGGGAAGGAGCTGCAGGCGCTGGCGGAACTGTCGCGGCTTTTCATCGGCTGCCGCGGCGGCGCGACGAGGGGGATGTTGCCCCCGGTGGCGGTGGCGAAGGCGGCGGCGGCGGCGTCGGTGGCGTCGAGTGGACCCCTGCGGGACGCAGAGGCGTCCTCCGTCGTGGAGGTGCCCGTGCAAGTGTAAGTTAAATTTTATTTGTTTTAATTTTATTTGTTTTATCGCCGGCTGTGGTATTTCGCGGGGTTTTGGTTTTGCACGAATTAAATCGCAGTTGCTGAGCACAGCCCCTGGCAGGTTTAAATCTACAAAAAATAGATCAAATGAGCCGGCAAATGAGATCGCTAGGTGGTAGAAAGATACGAAGGGGAGGATGATCTAAAGCCAGCGACTGAACACACGGTAGGTAGTCCAGCGGATGAGAGAACCAGCGCAAATCTTGAGTTGGGCAAGGATGTAGGAATTAGGAAAAGGTACCGGGAATTTGGGGCTACGGGAGGAAATTCCAACGTCCAGCAGCGCAAGGAGAGAATAGTGGAGAAATACGTTTTATTTAACCCGTAGGCTTTCGCGACCAATATCATCCATAAGAGGGTTTTTTTTTTAGTCTGGTTCGAGCGCGTTAATATAAATGTCTCGTTCAAACCCGCCGCCACCACCCGACACGGCCAATTAGTAAGGTTTGTCATGTAAAAAAATGCATGCCAATTCGTGAATAAGCACACACCGGTTGTGTGTTGGAGAGTAAACTCGAATTGTAGATGTTGTGGGTTTACTCTGCGACACACAACCCGTGTGCTCAGTGCTAGTAACGAATTTGCACATTTTATTTACGTGACAAACCTTACTCATTGGCTGTGTCGGATGTTGGCTGTGTTTAACGACACACTTATATTTATGCGATCTAACCCAAAAAAACTCTTACCATGGAAAATAAGTAGTTGCGAGGCGTCCACTGTTCCACGCTCTTTGTGAACGCGAGTTCTAAATGTTGACATTTGAATTCAATAACCACCGTGCGGAGTGTGGTGGGGGGCGACCCTGAACAGTACGTCACATTTCAAAGGTTCTGTTTGTGTTTTTCGGACCGAGAATTGTGAGCGAGTGCCGAGGCGAGGTTAAATCCGTCCAGTCCCAACGAAATGGGGGGATGGGGGGGGGGGTTGTCATTCGTGCACACGGGGCGGCAACTCAAGCCGTTGCTGTTATTATGTGCAGCATATTTGGTTAATCCACTGCTGGATGAAGGCTTACACACGCACACAGAAAAAAAAGATCCCCCCGTGTAGCCTGGACAGACTGTAGGGGCAAGTGCTGTTAGCGAGCACCTATGAAGGCCGGAACGGCACACGAGGTGGTGGGTGGCCAGCACCACGCACGGTCGCCTTTGTCTCCCCAGTGGTGATGTTTACACACCGCACCAGGTACTCTTTTGAGGCTGAGTCGACCTAGGGGATGCCCAGGACCGGTTCAGATAATCGTCACTGGTGTTGGCCGTGAGCGGGAATCGAACCCGTGTCGTCGGGTTCGTAGTGCAGCGCGCTAACCGCTACGCCACCGCTCCCCACACACACATACACACACACACAGACAATATGCACGCACACACACATACACACACACACAGCGTTATGGGCGGTGACATTGCCTGACGGTGGGAGCGGTTACCGATTGATGCGGAAGTTCGCAATTCTGGCTGTCACCTGACGAGACAGGTTGTTAATTGCCGTGCGAAACGACACGGTACTCGAATTGTAAATGTGGTGGTGATTGGTTTACTCTCCAACACACCGCGTAAATATAAATGTGTCGTTAAACCCGCCACCACCCGACACAGCCCAATGAGTAAGGTTTTTCACGTTAATCCGGTGGACGGCAATCAAACTCAAGTCGCCAAGGTTTGTCCATCGCTGTAATTGTACATCGCTATAATTCTAATTTGTGCATCGCTATAATTGCGCGTATCTCCATTTGCCTCCGTGACCTTCCCGCGCCGTCGTTCAGCTCGGAGCGCCGCTCTGCAAGTCCGGACGCGTTTCCCTCCGCGAGGAACGGCGGCGGCGGCTGCGGCGTCGGCGACTCGTCGGACAGACGGCAATCGGCGGAGCTCGCCGTCGACCGCGGCAGCGATGTCTGGCGGCTGCCGTCTTCGCCTCCGATCGCAGCTCCGATTGCTGCCGCCGCCGCCGCAGCCGCTGCTTCGGATTTCTCGCCACCGAGCGCCAAGCGCCAGCGGAAAAACAGTCGCAGAAAGTCCTCCACCGTCCTCGAGACTCCCCCGGGCGGGCGCCCGTCCGAAGACGGCGGCGATTGCGGCGTCGGCAGCGTCGGCGTCGGCGCTGCCGATTTCCTAGTCGGCAGCGAGAGGGAGGATTCGTTGGCGGGCGAGGACGGCGACGACGATGACGGCGACGAGGAGGAGGAGGATTCGGAGTCGGCGGGGGGAGCGGGAGCGGAAGGGAAGCTGCGCTGCCCCGAGTGTCCCCGCACGTTCACCAAGACCAGCGCCCTGCGGCGGCACACGTTCACGCACACAGGTGGGGGGGTGGGGGGGGGTGGGGGGGTGGGGGGGGTGGGGGGGTGGGGGGGGTGGGGGGGGGTGGGGGGGGGGGGTGGGGGGGTGGGCCGCGGCTCGTCATTGAACATCGTTCCACATCATCGCCACCGTCCGCCTCCATCGTCTGCTGTCGTAACAATCGTAATTGTTAAATTATCCGTACCGCTGTTGTCATCACCGTAACAACCGCTGTCATAATCACCATTGTTATCATCTTGTACCGCTTGCATCATTATCATCATCGGCAATTATAATCAACATCGTCACCATCGCTACCATCATCAATCATCCTGGTCAATATCGTTATCATGCCGTACTGCTTGCATCCACATCGTCATAACCATTACTGTCAATATGAGCATCATTATGATTATAACCACCATCGTGGCCATTATCACACTCAAAACCATTACCATCACCACCCCTATCATCCGTGCATTTGCAGTGCTCGCCACACCACCCCACACAAATGACTTAATAGGCGCTCGCTAACAGTGCCGGGCCCTCCCCATGCGCCGCAGTGGCGAAATGTTAACGACCTCGCCTGGTGTACAGGAGGTCGTGGGTTCGATCCTGACCGTGACACCTGCTGTATATTTGGAGTTGGCGTGCTCTCCCCTTGGTAGCGTGGATTTTTCTCCGAGTCCTCCGGTTTTTCCCTCCACATTTAAAATCAACATCGTGCGCTTAGACTATTTGGCTGCGATAATTTTCCACGCGATAAGCCACTTTGTTGAGCTATCATTTGTGGCCGGATCGTCGTGTGACAGCGCCGTGCCAAACGTGCGCCCCTGGCGTTGCACCGTGGCGCTCCGTGCACGGTCCACTGTGCCAACGTCACCGCACGTTGCCGTTAAACCGGGGGGGGGACAGCGCTTGCGAACTCTGAACCCCCGAGCAAGCGCAGCAGCGTCTGAACGTGGACTTTGTCTCTGCGTTCGGGTGCGAGGGCGGCCACTGAGGCCCGATTATCGTGGACATGTTGTTGTTGTTGCATTTTTCTTCCCAAATCCACAGCGGATGTCACAGGACTACTACTTTAAGTGATCAGCCCTTCTGAATATAGTACCGTTCGTTTACATGACAACCACACCGATGTTTTAAATTCTCAGAGCTGGAATTTAAATGGCTTGGGTGGGGGGGGGGGTGCGGTGGTGGGGGGCGGGGGTGGTGGGAGGTGTTTTGCACAGTTATTGGTGACCAGGCAGACACCATGAACCCGCTACACTTTAGAACCCAGTTAAATCACGTGTCGTTCGGAGCCTGCATCCAAGCCGGTCTCAGCACCCGGGCCGCTCAAACCGCTCGACCCTCGTTCTCACACCGCGTGTCGTCTCTCCCCTGACCCCGTCGCAGGTCAAAAGCCCTTCGTGTGCGGCGACTGCGGCGCCAAGTTCACCACCAAATCCAACTGCAACCGGCACCAGCGGCAGAAGCACGGCGCGCCGCTTCTGGGCAGGGGGGGCGGCGCGGCCGCGCGGCTCGCGGCGGCCGCAGCTGCGGCGGCCGCCTCCGCCTCCGCCAAAATCCCCGGCGACGTCGACAGGACGTCGGTGTCGCTACCGGGAGGCACCGAGATCGACGCGAAAGCGGCGGCGGCGGCGGCGATGGCGGTCGCGGTCGACGAGACACCGCGGGCGGGACGCGGCGGCAGGGGCCGCCCCCCGAACTCGCTGGCGCGGCGACGGGGGAGCGCCGGCAAGCCTCGCCGGAGCGGCGGCGGGGAGCCTCCCCCCGCGAAGCGGCTGCACTTGTCCCAGTCGGCGCTCCGTGCGGCTCGAGGAAACCGTGGCGGCGGTGACGGAGGAGGGGGTGAAGGAGTTTCTGAAGCCACGGACGCGGTTGTAGAACCCCAACGGGAAGATGAGAAAGCAGCCGAAGCAGCGGTGGATGGCGACGATGCAATCGGCGACGATGCCGCGATTGGCGTTCGGTCATCGGTTGCCAACATCGAAGAAGAAGGCGGCGGCGGCGGCGGTGACGCCGACCCGAAAGTCCTGGAAGTGGAAACCTCGGAGCGAGACGGCAAGGCTGCGACGGCCAGAGATGAAGACACGGTTATCGGCGGAGGCGATGGTGCGGCCGCCGGCGTTGTCACCGCGGCCGACGACAGCCGATCGGGTGAAGCGATCGGCGGGGGTGACGGCTCGGGAAGCGTTTCGGCGAGGGCGAGAGATGGGGAGTCACGCGGCGGCGACGACAAAGCCGCTGCGGACGACGACTCGGGTGCAGACGACGCTTCTGTGGCAGACGCCGCTCCTCGTGACGGCGCTGCGGCTGTCGGAGAAGGTGCATCGGTTATAGACGCAGCTGCAGGTGCCGTTTCAGCCGGTGTGAAAGCAGCAGGTGCAGAGGATGCTGTTGAGGCTGCTGCCGCCGATGTTCCATACGCGGGAGACTGTGCGGGTAATGGAGGCGCAGCGGGCCAGGAAGTTGACGAAATCGAATCGGGCGTCGACTCGGCCGGCGAGGAATCGGACACTGGCAACGCGGCTCGCTCCGCACGGCGTGAAGGTCCGACGAGCCAGGCGGAGCCGCGGAGGAGGTCCACCGCCAGCGGCACGAGCGACGGTGGCGCCAGGACCGCGACAGCGACGGCGAAAGCCTCCGCCGCGTCAACGACGGCCGCGTCGGCCACGGCGCCGCAGGGTCCCGGCTCGGCGACAGCAACGGACGACGGTGGCGGCGTCGACGGCAACGGATGCGTCGACGCCTCCGTTGACGACGACGATGACGATGACGACGATGAAGTGGCGGAGGACAACGGTGAAGATGAGGATGGGGGGGACGACGACGATGATGATGAGGAGGAGGAGGAAGATGAGGAGGAGGAGGAGGAAGATGCTGGCGATGACGACGATGACGGAGACAAGAAGGAAGACGTCGCGGAAAAACTCGCGCCGCTAAAGCGACCGGGCCGACGGGGCCGCCCGGCGCGACGTCACGGCTTCGGCGGCCGCGACCATCGTCAGCAGCAGCAGCAGCAGCGAGGGGGCGGCGGCGGCAGGCGTGGGCGCAGGTACTCCAAGCGCTCGGCCGGGCGTCCCTTCAGCTGCGGCCGCTGCCTGTCCACCTTCGCTACCAAATTCAACCTCCAGCGCCACTGCAGACGGAGGCACGGCGATGGCGGCGGCGGTGGAGGCGGCGGCGATGGCGGCGGCGGAGATGGAGGACGACGTGTGCGGGACCACGGCGGCAAAGCCGGCGCCGGGGGATTAACGGCAAAGAGGGGGAGAGGTCGAGATGAGAGAGGAGCGGGAGGAGGTGGTGGAAAAGTCGTCGTCGGCGATGGCGGCGGCGACATGGGTGAAGATCGTTGCGACGGGGCGGGGAAGGCCGCCGCCGCCGCCGCGGCCTCCAAGTCGCCGCCATCGCCTCGCCCCGACGCCGACGCCGACGGCAGCAGCTGAATTTCATCGTTGGCCAGGAAAGAGCGACGATCTCGCATCCCAGTTTCGTACGGGGGCAGGGGCCACACTGTGATCGGACGATAGCGACGTCGTGAGTCGTTTAGTGTTGTTTTATCGTCGTGAATAATTATTATTTTATCGTCAGTCGGACGCGCGCGGTGTTACGCTGGTTGCGGTGGTGCGTGTGCTACTGGCCGAATTCGGGAACGGCAAGATATTTCTCTCTCCTTCTGCGTAGCGCCCGTGCGGCCTGTACATGCACGCGCGCGGGGGGAGTTTGTGTACATGAGGTTAACTCGGCACGAATCCAGCAGCAGGAACTGGCGATGCGTCGTCACAACGCCTGGTCGCTATTTCGAGCCTAACGGGGGGAGGGGCGGGGGGGGGGAACCTCGACGTTTTGATCCAAAATTATTCGTTTTGAGGAAAAAACTGCAATTGAGATGACGACGACGACGATACGAGACACGAATTTTAAGACATCTTACTGTGGGCAGGGGGGGGGGGGGGTGCGCAAGCCCAAAAACAAATGGCTCTTGAGGCTCCGCATAGAATGCGAGCGTTGTTCTGGGAGGGGCGCGGTGCAGGGATTCGGGAGCAGGTTTGAACCATCTCCCGTTGCCTTCGATCCACGCGGGCGGCTCGGCGATTGAAATGAGCGCCAGGAATTACAAAAATGTTCGTGCTTCGCCCTTGCCATTGGCAAACGAGGATGAAAACGCTTCCCCAAATTGTCGACTTACAAACCGGTGCCTTTGGCCTGCGGTCGAGCAAACTGCGGCCACGCTGGAAGGGCCGACGCGTTTCTCGTTGCGGGCTGGAGATCGCCGTTGTGGCTCGCGATGAGATGTTAAACCGCCCGTCGTTCGCGATGGGAATGCACGTTGAGCAAGGGGCTTGCGGGTGAATGTTAGGCCGGCAATGGCATCTCTCAGGAATCTTCTGCCGCCAATTCGTGGAGGGGGGTGGGGCGAGGGACTGGTTCGTTTGCGATCGCGGAAACAGAATCGCGTGACCTGCTTTCAACAAATCTGGCGCGAGGGGAGGGCAGGAGTGTAAACTCTTACGAGAGGTGTTTGGAGTAGTGAGACAAGGCATATGTGTGTGTGTGTGATAGTGGGGAGGGGGTAGTGTCGTGCTTAACGCTCTGCGCTACGAACCCGCTGTTCACGACCAACATCAGTGGTGATTGCTGTGAACCGATCCTCGGACGCCCCTTGCGTCGACTCGTCTTTACAGCTAGTACCTGATTGCCGTGCAGTTTGTGTCAACATCAGCGACTGGGGAGAGACAAAGACGGCCGGGCATGATGCTGGCCAAACCACCCACAACCCCCGTGTGCGTCGTGCCGGCCTTCGTAGGTGCTCGCTAACAAAACTTGCCGCTCCCCTCCCCCCGACAGCCCGGTGTAGGTTTATCCGGGGGGGTGGGCTTTCTTTTTATCTAAATTTTTGTTTGTATATATTGTGGTGTTGAACTGAAGCTTGTGTAGGTGAATGGGAGGGGGGGTGTGTGTGGGGTGTAACAGGAAATCCGAGCGGTTGACTTTCAATGACTTTTGTTTTAAGGGGGGGCTGCCCTTGCGCGTGCGTGCAAGTGTGATATCAGTCGACTTCACTGAGCAAAGAAAAAGAAAAAGGCCTGCAGAGACTGGAACCCCCCCGCAACCACCAAGACGTTCACATTTTGTGTTTCCTACCCTTGGTAGAAGTGGGGGTGGGAAGGTTGGGAGAAGAGGAACGACAAACAACAACAAAAACCGTACCGCAAACAAACTTTCAACTAACAAAAAATAATGGCAACGCTTTTATAGTTGCAAGGCAAAGACGGTGACGGAAAAGAAGAAAAGACTGAAATGATTCTTTCGTGTTTTATCGCGTGGGTGAAACGTCTTCGGCGGCCGAACTGCGGAAGCATCTCGCTGTGACTCCCGGCCTACAGCTGTGCTTGAGCGGTGCATTGTGGGGCGCTCAACACGTGCCGCCCCGGTGTGGCTTTGTGAGCTGACGTTCGCTGAGAACGCACGTGTTAGTCGTGGGTTGTAGCAACTTTTGATGAGCAAAAAAAAAATGTTTCAACTACGTCGAGGAAATGAGAAGCACGTCGTAAGCCTGGGAGGAATTCTACTTAGAGGAGATATTTTCATGTGTTTGTGACGTTCGAATCCGTGGTCGCAGCTGGTAGCATCTCTGCACGCGCACACACATCACAACGGGGGCCCCCGCCCCCATTCTTTCAGTCCCGTCGTTTTCGCGGAAGACTTTCGAGGGAAATAATCCGACCTCGTCAGGGCCGGGGGGCGGTGGGCGGTGGACTCGTGTTTCAACGCCTACCAGAAACGGGTCGCCGTAGCGCGCTTTCAACACCGCGCCGGGTCGCGTCGCACAACGTCTGCGCGACCGCTTCATCCGGACGAACGCTCTACGTTCGTGCCGAACCGGACCCATTTCCAACAAACGCCGGCTCGCGGCTCGCGGCTCGGCACGCTGTCGTCCAACGGTTCTCGGCTCAGGACTGTTTTCCGATTTTCGGTGCGCGTACCGAGGCCGTTCACCGATTGGCTCGCACCTCAGGTTGACGACTGATTGTTTCACAACTCGCAACAAGCAAAGGGGTGGGGTGGGAGGGGAGACCCTTTGCTGAACCTATCGCGCAGCTGTCCGTTAGCACTGCGGCGTGCTTTCGTGTCGTACCCGCGCTGTTGTTGGGCACGATGTCCGACGTTTCGCTGCACGGCCCTGGGGAGCTTCAGGATTTCCCCCCCGAAATGTTCCCGAAGGACGCTCCCGTTGGGACGTCGTGGCGAACAACGCGCGGGTACAACCCGAAAACACGTCGCAGATCGAAAACGCAATTCTCTGTTCGCTTGCGCACATCGGCTAACTCACAGCCACAACTTGCTTCTATATTTATGTTGTACGGGTGTAATGACGCGATGGCGCTTCGGGTGTGGCAGGCTTGGGCCAGAAAGGCGCCACTTGAACTCACTCGGCCCTTTGCCGAATCGGTGCGCGGATCACCGGGGCTCTTCCCTGATTGGCTCATGGTCGAGACGGATCACCACCTCCTCATTGGCTCGCCATCACGAGGGCATCATCCAATTGACT